ACAGCATCAATACTTAATGCAAGCTGTTTTGTAACACATCCACGTGACTTCAGTCGTTACATCTTCACGTTCTCAAAGGAGGGACAACTAGTGTCTAAGTGTGTGTGTATCTATGTGTGTGTGTGTGTGTGTGTGTGTGTGTGTGTGTGTACATGTTCTCCTCATGTTGCGGGGACATACTTCTGTTGGTGAGCCTCAAGTCCCCTGAACATAAATCATTCAATTTCACTGTGAAAGCTTCGTGTCAGGGTCACGTTCAGGTTAGGGTTCGAGCAGTAGTAGCAGCAGTTGGTGTACGTCTTCAAAAAAATGAATGTCAGTGCAGAGTCAGTGTAATGTCCTGAAGTGATGGGAACGCCGCTGTGTGTGCATGTCTGCGGAGAGAGGGATTGTAATCAAAGACAGAATGGATGAATAGTTTAATTTACAGTTACTTGTACAGCTTCTTGTAAGTCTTCAGTTTGGTAATGGACCATGTCCCAGGTCTTGTCTGTTCCCTCTGATGAGGATGGCTGTTATCCTGCCAGTGGAGACCGAACACCATGTTGAGCTGATTGATCCTAGACACAGAGCATCCTAGCAGGGTTCTAGCAGGCCCATAGCAGGCCTGCTTGGATGATTATGTACAATCAAAGTAAGAAATGGGCTGGTGGAATTGAGTGAGAAACAAGTAGCCCAGTGGAGAGATCAATAGATCCATATGGGGAGAGAAAGGAGAGTGTCAGAAAGAGGGGCAGACAGATGAGTCTGGACGAGAGGGGATGAATGACTAAATATCAAAGAGTTCATCATCGCGGAATAAGCTTGCTCGATTTTCTTAAAACCCCATTCCTTGGATCTGGCTGGCTATTACTATTCACTCACTGGGTTTTTTAGCTCTGCAGATGTGACCAGCGACAGTGAATGAAGGCGAGGTGGGGGTCTCTGCCTGGCCGACAGATCCACAAGAGGGGGTTTCAACGAATGAGGAAAGACACAGTGCTGTTGGAAATGGCAAGGGGGGACAGCGCTGATGAGCGAAATGAAAGAGACTTGGCACAGAACACACACAGACCTGCCCAGAC